CACAAATCTTCTCATATACACCATTTTGTTGCACGAAATTATCAATCCAACATCTTTTGACCTTCCTAGAGCCTTTTTGACCGATTGAAATTCACATAAAACATCTCAAAAATTGATTTTCAAGAGATTGAAGGCTAGGGTTCATAATTTCTAATTCTGTCAATTGGAGGTCAATTGGGGTAATTTTCATACGGATTTTGGCATCATTTGCATCACCAAAGATCACTCTACCAAGTTGAGGTAAGCTTCTTAAGCTTAACTTGGTATTTTAAAATTCACTATTTGCATATTTTAAATTCTTAAACTTACCATGATTATTCACCATTTGACACACTTTGAATGATGAATTTGTGATGTTATTTGTTGATATATATAAGTTATATTGTACTTATTTAACATATTGAAGCATGTTTACATGATCAAATGTGGGAATATAATGATCTATACAATGTTTCAATTTATGCATATTCCTATTTTATGATCAATGTGGTAATTGGTCTTAGAATGCTGTTAAGCATAATTGCAAAAATGTGACTTGTTTATGATGCTTAAATATACACATTCATTATACGGTGACATTTTAGAAAATTTGAATTTGTAAACTTTAGAAAATGTCTAATTTATCTAGTTTAAAAAATGATGCATTTAAATGAAAGTTTATTGCTTAATCTTCATATAAAGCATGATGATGAATTTTGAATATATGAAGAATTTAGCAATTTGTGTGGAATTTTACGAGTGAAAATTGCATGTGTGCATAGTATATTATCCATGTTTTGACTTTGCTCCTAATGGTTATGATATGGTGATCCAATAAATACCTAAAGGAGCGTGTTTGCATTATAATTGAAAAGTAAGGTATTTAGGGTGAAAGGACAAAATGTGTGAAGTGAAGTGTTTCATTGTATCTTGAGAAGTTTTTTGTCAATTTTATATGGGTACATCACCTAGACAAAGGCGAAGAGTTACGGATCGGCGTTTTATGTTTACTAATACTTTTTGTTATTACCTTTGCATTTCTTGAACCATAGTAGTTTGTTTCTCATTTTCACTTCTTATGTTTGTATTACTAATGGTTATAAATGGAACTTATGAATTTTCCTTTTTGTAGAATTGTGGCAAATGGATTATAAACTTCATGATGGATTGTGAAATTTATATTTGTGCACTTCAATCACATCAATAGGGGAGTATTCTTTTCTTTATCTTCGTTTTTCTTTTTACACATTGAGGACAATGTGTATTTTAAGTAGCGGGGTGAGGAGTGAGATTATATGCATTATATGTAATTGAATTGTTGGTTGAAAATGTTGGACTTGTGCTTGAAAATGTTATTGTGTTTAGAAAATTTTCAAACTTGGGTTTGTTAGTAAGGAATTTCATCCATTTATAAGGGAAAATTCTGCCAAAATTTTTCCAAAATCTTGTCCAAAATTGCAAGATTGCTCCAAAATGTTTTAAATTTTTTCAATTTTATCCAAGAGCAACAAGTTCCATGCCATCAGTAACTCAAATTTCTTCTATTTTTGAAATAAATATATGTGACTTGAAACTTTCATTTCTCATTTGACTTGAAAATAGTTATTATGCGACTAGGATTTTTACATTTGCAGGAAAATATATCTTCAAAAGTACAGAAAATTATGCTTAAATTTTGCATGTTTGATGAAATTTCTTTTCTTTACTTGATTTTACATAGTTGAGTGATGAATATAATCAATAATTGCAATACTCTTCTCATGATTATTCTTTTAAGGGAATGATTATTATCTTTACTTTGAAAAAAAAAGGAAAGAAAAGAGAAGGAAAAAAAAGAGAAAAAAACAAAAAAGAAGAAGAGAGAATAAGAGTGGTTCTACTCCAAGGGTTCTTGTATTTAGTAACCGGAAGTTTTCATCTATAAATATCAACTTTTGCATAAAATGGTACTAGAATTAAGAGTATGCAAAGCAACTTGAGAAAGTGAAGTGTTGAGTAATTGGCGATCTTCATCTAAAATGTCGATCTTCACGTCAAAAGGCACTTTCATAACTTGAGTAAATATTTAGATATGTTGTATGAATAAATCCCTTTTTAAAATTGAAAAAGAAGATGGTATGGGTTTAGGAAGCATTTTTATTGACCATAGGAATTACTTGCTTGTGAAATTGGAAAATGATGAGGAATTGAGTTGAACTAGTTAAAATTATGGTATAATTGGCTCTCCTTTACTTGATATTATGAGTACTTGAATTTAATTGAATGATTGCATAATGGTTATTTACTTTGCTTTAAAAAAAAGAATTTGAATTGTGCACATATGTTTAATTTCAAAATTTTGGATCATAATTGACTTGTATTTTTTAAATTATTTGAGGACAAGCAATAGTTCAAGTGCGGAGGAAATATATATATATATATATATATTTGTGTGTGTGTGTGTGTGTGTGTATGCATGTATGTATGTATGTGTTTATGTATGTATGCATATATGGTGAGATTTAAAAAGTATGGAAGGGTAGGAAAATTAGAATCCAGGACTTCTAATTCCCGGGGTTTCAATTTTAATTACTAGATTAAGGCCTTCGAGGCTAATTACACCAGATAATTTTTGGTGAGAATTTCTCCAAGAAATTGTAACAAATTGATCCGTAAATACTTTTCAATTAGCCATATTAAGTAGGAGTGAGAAATAACTCTAATTAAAATAAGAACATATAAGAAGTGGGGAGGGATAGGGAAATTAGAACCCAGAAAAAGGCTAATTACATCAGATAGTTCTTGGTGGGAATTTCTCCCAAGAAATTGTAACAAATTGATCTGTAAATACTTTTCAATTAATCTTGTTATGTAGGAGTGAGAAATAACTCTAATTAAAATCAGAACTATATATATATAATATTTTTATATATATAGACACACATTTCCTTTTATTTAGAAAGATTGACACTTGGTGCACCAAATAAACTTTTCATTCCACAAATCTGACAGTGCTTCTTGTAAGGATAAGAATCCTGATTTGAAGTGTAATAAGATCCTTCTAACAAGTCCCAAAGTGGTCATTGGCAACACTTTCATCAGATTTTTGCACTTTTCAATTAACTCTACTACAAAAAAATGGGATAGATTAAGAAGAATCATGGATAAATACGCGACCTTCCTTTTGCCTTTATTCTTGTGTGCAAGGTTTACGCCAATTTTTCTTGATTCCCAACAACTGGAATATGAATATCAGTTTTTTGTTAAAATAGATCAAGACGAATGCTGTATTGGTTAATTGAGTGTGCATCAAAGTAAGAAATTTTCTATGCTGTTTAATCTATAAATACCTGAACTTATTCTACTTCATCCAATGTCTCACAAATTAAATTGTGAGTAAGGTTTCTCTTTTTTAATGATCATTAAAATTAGAAATATATAGTCTAAATTAACCTAAATAAATATTAATCATCACATGGTATTGATCATTAAACTTGTATGAAGAATTTAGTACATGATAAAACAGCCTCATGAGCATATATTTAGGTGAAATGTGATTATTAGCCTTGCACGCAACAATGAAATTAACGTGGATATGGTAAAGGGGAAAAGAATAGTAAAAAGAAGGCTAGAAGAAGATCCCTTCATTGTTCAAAAGGAAATGAATACTTTAATGGTGGATGGTTTCCATCTCATTTCTATAGCTCAGAATTTTGTTTGAAAATCATGCAAGTGATTCTGAGATTATGGTTCAAGCAAATTCATGTAAGAGGGAAACCTTGAATGCACGGTTGAAATATTCATCTAAGTCAGTTATGCATTTCATTCACAGTATCAAACTCGACAATGAATTGCTTTGCTGCAAAGCATAGTAAGTAATCCAAAGCTAGCTTCTAAATTTTTTATCTTCAAATTGAAAAAAAGAAAAAGAAAAAAGTTTAGTAGTGAAATGGAATCGTTAAGAAAGAATATATATATATATATATATATATATAACCCTCAAGCTGCTTTTGCTACATGGAAATCCTAAGCAATTGTTAGATTTAGCATAAAAATTTGTATGGTAGAATGAATCAAGTATTACAATTGAAAAATTTTAATATCAATCTTCAATTATTCTAAAAATGTCAAAATTCTATGTAAATCAACATATAATATAGTAGAACAAATAAAACAAAAGTAATAAGCATATTATGCCTATAAATTAATCATGGGTAACTAAGTCAAATTTCTATTAATTATATTCTATTTTGACATTTAAATATTGATTATAATAAATACTAGAAAATGAATGAATATTCCACTCTAACTTGTTTACTAGACACTCTAGAATGATAATTTTTTTCCCTACCATTTCAGATGCAAAGATCTTTCCATTATGAGCATTCTCGCACATGAAATGAGAGGTTAGAGTATCCAATGGGCACTTGTTAAAATGTTTAAAAAGAAATCCTTAACAAACATAAATAAAAACAACCCTTTAACAGATAGCATGCTATTGTTATATGACCCTTTTATATAAATCACCTATAAAGTACAGAGTAGATATTTTATGACAAATAACATTATCCAAAAGAAAAAAGAAAAAGATACGATAAGAAACCATGGTCGCATCGCACGTTGCATTTTAGTCACTTTTCATATTTAATTTCATTTCATTTGGGAAAATTGATACTTGTTGCCTTAAATAATCATTGTATTCAAAAAACAAGCAATTCGTTTTGTAAATATAAGAGTCCCGACAATTTGTTTTACACTTTTTCACATGTTTTACGCTTTTCAATTAATTCAACAACACAAAAGAGGGATACACAACTTTGCTTTTCTCTATATTCTTGTGTGCAAGGTTAACGTCAATGTTTTCTGATTCCAAACACTAGAATAAGGAATGCTTTATTCTTTATTGAGTGTGCATCAAAGTAAGGAATTTTTTATGCCATCCAATCTATACATGCCTGGACATATTTGTTGTTTCTAAATCTAAACAAACAAACAGTTTTCCACTTCGAAATACACAAATTCTCAGCTAACAACCATAAACAATGGCTGAATTGATTGTTCCAAAGATAATTGATCAATTAAGTGATGCTCTCATGAAGCAGCTTGGGGAGAAGGTCAACCTGGTGATGGGAGTTGAAGAGGAGGTTGCAAATATCTCCTCTAAGTTGGCAACCATTGAAAAAGTGCTGCATGATGCAGAGAGACGAAGGCTGAAGGACAGAAGTGTTGGAATTTGGCTAGAAATGCTTGAGGACATAACATATGAGATGGATGATGTGCTGGACGAATGGAACTTCAAGATTCACAGAGCAAAGAATGCCAGAACGCAGCCTACACTGCGGAACAAGGTTCGTTCCTTTATCCCATCCCTTTGTTCTTGTCTCAAACAACTTCTTGTGCGTAGTGATATAGCTCAAAAAATAAAGAAAATAAATGAACAGCTAGAATTAACTTTGAAAGAGGCAGATCAATTCAAGTTTATTACAAGTGGGGGTATTCCTAATTCTCATGATTTTCAACGAATTATGACTACCTCAATCATAGACGAATCAGAGGTCTATGGTCGAGAATCTGATATGGAGAAGGTTCTTGACCAAATATTGTCTGAGAGTAGTAGTCAAGGAAGAGATGGGGTTCAAATTATCTCTGTAGTAGGGGCCGGGGTAGTGGAAAGACCACACTTGCCCAGCTGCTCTTCAATAATGATAAAGTGCAGAACCACTTTGAACTTAGAAATTGGATCTGCGTATCAGATCCTTTCGACCAGAATAGGGTCGCGAAAGCTATCCTTGAGAATGCTGGAAAAAGTCCTCCTGGTTTGTTAGAGTTGGAACCACTGCTCCAACTGTTGAAAGAAACATTTTCCGGCAAGAGATTCCTGCTTGTCCTAGATGATGTCTGGACAGAGGACGACTCAAAGTGGAAGCCTTTCCAATACTCTCTCAAGGATGGAGCTCCGGGAAGTGTAATCTTGGTAACAACGAGGAGTCAAAGAGTGGCCAGAGTGATGGGATCTACTGATACTCACCACCTGAGCCTGATCTCTGACTCCGATTGTTGGCTAATAATGCAAAGGATAGCATTTGGTGGAAAATCAGGGGACTTATGCAAGAAGGTGGAAAGAATTGGGCAGAAAATTGCAGAAAAGTGCAAGGGGTTGCCACTTGCTGCGAAGACTATGGAAGCTTGTTACGGTTCAAAGATACCGTACAACAATGGCAGAATGTTTTGGACAGTGAGATATGGCAATTGGAGAAAGCAGCCGTGGAACTTTTCCCTCATTTGTATTTAAGCTATAACGAGTTGTCCCCGGAGCTGAAACGTTGCTTCTCATATTGTGCTGTCTTTCCCAAGGATCATGTGATATATGTAGAAAGAGAGCTTATTAGGCTGTGGATAGCACAAGGTTATGTTCGCCCAAGACGGAGAGGTGAGAGCTTGGAGCTGGTCCTTGAGTACTTCAACAATTTGGCAATGGGTTCCTTTTTTCAAGAAATAGAAAAGGTTGAGGCTTACTATGGGTTAACTGAATATATGGTGTGCAAGATGCATGACATAGTGCATGATTTTGCACAATTTCTCACAAAAAATGAATGTCATGCACTTGATGGAACTGGAAGAAATTCATCTAGTGAAAGACCACGTCATCTAACAATTTTGGAAGAAGGCACTGAGGAGCAGATGTTTAGTTCTCGAGTCGTTGATTTTGGACGGCTCAGGAGCTTTTTAACTTTTTTTAAAATTGGAAGAGTAGTAGTTCCCCAAAATCTATTCTGCCATTTGAAGTGCGTGAGGACTCTGACTTTAAGAAGTTGTGGGCTAGATGAAATCCCAGCCGAGATCGGAAGGTTGCTTCATCTACGACACTTGAACTTGAGTGGTAATCCTTTCATTACACTGCCAGAAGCTATATGTGATCTCTATTATCTGGAAACTCTGAATATCATTTTTTGTGATAAGCTTTCGTGCCTTCCTGAAAGGATTGAAGGTCTTGTACACTTGAGGCACCTTTTCAATGAGAACACCGATGATTTGCGTCAAATTCCACAAGGACTCGGGAAGCTGACGTCACTTTGTACTTTGGGTGGGTTCATCGCCAGGAGCAACTCTGATGATTTGGCAATTCTGAAGGACCTGAACCAACTGGAAAGATTGGTCATTGAAATCGAAGGAGAAGTAGATTTTGGGAGTGCAAAACTTGGCAAGAAAATCAACATGCGTGAAATGTTTTTGTTCTTTAGCGATGGGACCCACTTTATAGAAACTCCAAGTTGCATTGAAAGCATGGAACCACCTCCAAACTTGGAACAACTTGCGCTAGTTGGCTATCCAGGAGCCAAGTTACCAAGTTGGCTTGTGGCGAAATCTCACGCTAGTAACTTGACGAAGCTAGTTTTTGCTAGCCCCCACAACATCTCATCCTTGCTTGCCTTGCGAAAGCTATCATCCCTAGAAGAGCTCAAGCTCATGGAAGTGGAAGAGCTAGAATGTTTGGGTAAGGAATTCTTCGAGTTACAAAAGCACTACATGAGAATAGTCGTGATGCTCTTGATACATTGTCAAACTCCGAGTCATCATCCTCAGCTGAAGCAGTGGCATTTCCGAATTTGAGAAAATTACATTTTGAGGACTGCAACAATTGGACAAATTGGGAAGACTTAAGTGAAGATGATGAAGAAGTTGCGGTCTCTATCATGCCACGCCTGGAGGAGCTAAAAATTCAATACTGTCATGAGCTCGAAACTCTGCCACATCGCATCTTCAGAAAGATATCATCTCTCAAAATTTTGGATATTCGACATTGCAACAAGTTGAGGGATCGTTACTCTGACAAAACAGGAGATGACTGGAAAAAGATATCACACATTCCTCAAGTTCACATATTTTGATGAATAATAATCTGCTCAGGTATGATTATTCACACCTTTTTTTACGTACCTATCATCTTTGAAGTCAAATAATTACTGCTTACAGAATTACAACAAACAAAGGCCTGCTTTGTAGAATATGACACGTGATTAATAATGAATCAAGTGTTAACAAAGCCATATGTATAATGAAAATGTGAAATATTCATTTATAGTTTAGAATGATTTTTTTTTTTAAATTGAGAAGATGCAAGTCATTAACTAGTAAATATAACACTAAATTTCTAATAATATCTAACTGTGAACTCTTGAGTTTGAAATTCCATTTATGTCTTGTCTTTTTTATCCTTTTCTTTTAGCTTTTGTTCTTTGTTTTCCAGATAATGCTCATTGATGGCTCAAAGTGAAGCTACAGTAGAAGGCATTGATGGATCAACCTCTACGTCAACTTTTTACTTGGGTTCGTGTAAAATTTCAAATAATTGTAAATATGGTTGAAGAGGTACATCCACTTGCTTTGTTCAAAATCATTTGTTGAAACTATATGTAGCCTTACAAATTTCCAGATTGAATTTCAAGTGGTTACAAAACCAGTCTTTATTTCTTCAAATTATTATTGTCTTATTGTATGTAAGTTTGTGTAGATTTAATAAAAAAGAAAGTTTGTACATTGTGCTTGTCTATATAGTGTATTATTGACAATCTATTATTAGCGCACCTATTTTATGGTATTATTCTAAGAAAACATGAATTCAAATTTGAAATTCAAATAATACACATATAGCATACATCTAAAACTGTTAGTAATAAAAAATCACTACACTGTAAGTGCATAAAAAGTTAATCCATATTCTAATGATTAAAAGTAAACAAATTGACAAATTATTCTTTATCTTGTTTCCTTTTTTAAAAAATGTTTACATAGATAATTAGAATAACAAAAACTCAGACTACAAAAGTGCATGTACACTTAAAAGCACCAAAACTCATGATACTTTTATAGTAGTAGCAGCAGTGTAGTTCTAGTAGTAGTAATGACAATGATTTGTTAATAATACTTTCTTCTAATTAGCTTTTTTTTAAAAAATTTTAAGAAGGGAAGGAATAGAATTTAAGAAACGGGGAGAAGATAAGGTGAGTAGAACAAAATATCATAATAAATCTTGACAATTTCATTCACAAGACAAAATTACGCCCAGCAGAATTTTGAACTAGAAAGGTTGCAAGACATATCATAATAAATCAATTACTTGCATACTTCACATATATGAATCAGTTTAACAAACTATCCAAATTCCAGATTTGAATATCATCTTTTGTTCATTCACAATTATATATGTTCAATACTTAGTTGAAAATATGCCTTCCCTCATACCCCTTCCTGATAGAAACAATTTTAAAAAAATAATTGAAAAATTTAGACACGTAATTAGTTATCTTCAAGTTGATTGAAGATAAAATAGACTTTGACACATCAGAGTTTATTGTATTTATATTCAACTCCAGTAGTTAGTTATATTTTGATTCTTTCTATAAAGGCTGTTAAATCATTTAATCCATAAAACTCACATTTTAACCGTGAAATTTGGCAGCCCTAGCCTAATGGCTTTCATAATTGAAATCACTATCTCTCAAGTAGACATTACCTGATCAAAAATTCCATCTCTGGAGACTGCATCCCATGGACAGAATTGTCTGTATTTGAAACACAAAATGAAGTTATAAGTGTGCACACAACAACGCAAGTTGATGATTCCTAAACGCCTCAAGCACCAGTTATGAGGTATGTATCCGTAAGTTGCTACGCTAAACAATTTTCTCATCTTCTGACATTTGAGAATATAAGATCCTCTGCTTCCGTGTCTATGAGCACAAAATGGGAAAAATAGGTACAACCACTATGCAGTGCACTTATTACAAATAAGACAATTTCAAAGTGGTTCCAAGTTGCAATAAACCATGAACATCTTTCAACAACACAAGATGAGTGCTTTTAACACAAAAACCATCTGTCAACTAGGCAAAATTTCCATCACTGCTACCACCTATGGATCTGTAGTATTACACAGTCACCAATATTTTGATTCTTTTCTTAACAAAACTTGTTTAACTAAGCTACTGGATATCTAGCTAATACAATCAAATCTACAAAAGCTCCTCTAATGACTATTTCCCCTAGGGCTGAATTCATGCTTTTAGTATTTCAAGTTAGTAAGAATTGTTTCTCCAGATGATATAGTGGTTTAGCTAGAAGCCAATCCCAGTATATGAAAACATTAAGATCAAGAAAACTTGCATATCATTTCCATTATGAAGGGCAATAATATTATTACAGTTTGTAGGTTGACATTTATTGCTTCATTAGGTATTGAAATAAACCATACCCTGGGCTAGTAATCCATACGGAAATGGAGGCAGGATCTGGATGATTCTCTTTCTTGGAAACCTGACCTCTTCATATGTAACTTTAAGAAATGGGGTGCCAATGGGAAAATTGTAGAATACTGTTAAAGATCAGGGTGACAATTTCCGTCAGCATAGAAATTTGACCAAAATTACCCACAGCAGGATTATCATATTCAGCAACATGACAATTATATGATGAACTCCTTTATAATTTTCAATGCTATAACTCCCATGGAAACAGTATAGGAGATCCGAAAGATCAACCATGAGTTTTTGTTGCGCTGTATTAAGCAAAAGAGAAATTTCATGAATTTATTCTAGCTGTAATCATGATCAAAGTAATTACTAAAGATGGTGGGGTACTACAAAATAGGACTGTCGTATAACAGTTCGATGAAAACTTATTTCAAGTTATATGCTTCTTTTAAAATATGTTGAATCCACCTTGGTTGACAAGCAAATATCGTCATTTAGCATTCTTGCAAAATAGTATATGGCAAACCAAATATCATATGCATGTTCAGGCAGTTGATACCAGACCGAGACGCAGCTCTCTTTCTCACGTACAAGGTCAATTGCAACAGAGCATACGTTCTCATATGCCTCAGTACCAAGCTTTTGTCTGAATGATGAAAGATTAGCCAACGGCCAGCATGGCAATTTTTCTCCCTCATGTGTAACCATTCAATCCAATGCATATCTAGTGTCTTTACTTGATCTTATAACTGCAACACTCGGTTGAAGCTTGGTCCAATTTCCATCATGTGTATTTCAATATTCTCTTACATGGACAATAATCAAACAGAAGGTATGGAATTTTCTCTTTTCATCTTTTCAAGAGATCAATGGAACATGTCGATTTCCCCTTCATATTGTTCCACAAGCGAATCAGGTAACAGTTTCAGAACACCTACCAAGCCTTGATTAAGCATTCCCTATAAATTGAATATAAATCAGGAATTCGGGCAATAAAGAATCTGTTTTACAAACCCCAATGGTGTATTCATACTAGAAGGAATCTAGAACTTTAGAATGCTAGACACCAGAAAAGAGTGAACTTGATTTATGAACTGTACATTGACGTAATAATTGAATGTTCATTGACGCAATAATTGAATGTAGAAATGGTAACTAAAAGTTGCAACAAGATCAAATTGTCTAGTTTGCTAAGAAGCCCTTAGCCCTCAGAGCATCAAAGGACATAAAGAACTCAAGTGGAGAAATGGCCGTTCAATGGATATGACTTACCAAGTGCCAGTTGTACTAATTCAATACATTCAAAAAAAAGTTCCGACATTCACTGTGAAGCTTGACTCCTGAACGATTTCCGGCATATCTCAATTTGATCTGAATATTTACCCAATCTCAAAAAGGTCCTCACTATAATTCAATGGCAAAGATCCTCTGAATCTTCGTACAGATTGACGTATAGCCTTTCCTAACATTAGAGGAAATATAATGACCATAACAATGTTTATCTCCTTCTCTAATTATAAGAAATAGCATGCAGGACACTGAGGATGAAGTATAGGCTAAGAGTTTAAAGCTTTCAGAAGTTCTCCCTCTTCAAAAGCAGCATCGACCTATAGCATTGGCTGCCACATAGGCGATTGCGTTCCTCAAACTTTAATCCTGTGAATTAATTACTTATATCAGGAAGATATCCCATCTTTTTAGAACACAAGTCAGATCTTCAATCAACTGATATGACTCCACAGTTTTCTCCATAAATAAAAAGTGAGTCTGATAGGTTGTTAATTGTTGGTTATTTTATTGTTATTCCCTTTATCCTTACCAAATATTTGTTAATTATTAATATTTACTTATATTTGGTATTGGACTCAATTTCAGGAAGTGGAACAGAAAATTACAAAAAATGAGGGACTTTCCACTATACAATTGAGACTTCAAACAGTTGGGCCCCATATGGTGCTACAAGGAAGCCTTTTTCGGTTGCTGCCCACAAGGAGAAGAAGAAAACTCCTTTTCTTTGTGCTGATGGGAGTCTTTGACCAGCAATAGGAAACTAAACAAGGAGGAATTTCGGCAGAGCCTCAATTCTTTGGCTCTTGGACTCCTTAGTCGGCGGGGACCACTGGATAGCAGGAAGTCATTTTCCCTTTGGCTTTAAAAGGACGAACGTGCAGAAGTTTTCCTTACGAATAGTTAGAGCTTAGTTTTTTTAGTTTCTTTTTCCCATCGGAGAACATTAGAAAGCTCCGATTGTTTTATTTTCTTGCACAGCTGGTTCTCCATTAATGGAGAACTAGCTTCTCAATTCTAGTGAAGGGGACAACTGAAGACTTGGTTCAACAATTACTGTGAGATCGAAATTATTTTAATCGCTTCCTCATTTATTGGTATTTATGTGTTTCCTGTTTTTAATTGTTATAGTCCTTATGTATGATTGATTAGTGCGCAATAATTAATTATTCATATAGGCTATTTTGCTAAATAGAGGTAATTGAATCCGTAATTGTTCGTTATCTCTATCTTAGTAGCAACTGGCGTAATTGGGTTTATGTCAGGGGAGCATATGATCTAGTTTAAACAAACCCTCGTAGCGTATTTGTTAGTTAGGATTGGGCCTTTCTAATTATTAATGCAATCTAGAAATTAAATCCTACGGTCGTACCTAGGGTTGTTTTTGGGTTAGAGGAATAGCTAACGGTCGTACCTTAGCTATCGATAAATTAAGGAAGGGTTGGTTGTTTATCGCGTGCATGACAACTATAACCAATCTATTAATAAATGTTGGAATTATTTTTGCATCAATGATCAGTGCATGAACCATTTCTGAAGTATACCCTTGACTAGATTTTCTCATAGTTATTTTTTTTAATTAATTATTTTCTGCAGTTAATTTATTTAGTTAGCATTTAATCCAAAACCCCCCATACTTTGGACTCTAGAAGAAACGAATTATCCCCAGTCCCTGTGGATTCGACCCTACTCACCGCTATATACAAAATCTGTATTTTTCTCGAGTAGGTATTTATTATTGCACAGGTTCGGCACCTGTCAATTTTGGCGCCGTTGCCGGGGACTGGTGTCAGATTAATTTGTCTCTTTTTGAGTTCATCTTGTTTTTATTTTTATTTGTTTATTTCTCTCTTATTTTTTTTATATAGTTTATGGCTTCTAACACTCCGTATTTTGGTGATAGACTGGATTTTGTTTTCAGGGAAGACAATGAGGC